CACTTACAGTGAACTCCCCGGTAACAGCATCAAAGCCGACATGGATGGTGTGTTCGAAGTCTGACGGCAGAGAGATCTCTGGGCGCTCCTTCCTCTTATAGGCTGAATGACAAAGGAACAAAAAACAAACACACTGATTGATTTTTTTAAAGTGTTGTAATAAAACACAGAACAGTTTTCCACCTTAAGGACTCTGGATTATCCCAGGATTTATTTCCGTTTAGAATAAATAGACACTAAAGAGCAGCAGACCCAAAAACAAGTTCTAACTTGGCGTTGAAAGGTTGCAGAGGAGTATCTGAGATGCTGGTTGCACCATTTCGATAATGATCCCGGCTCTAACAGAAAATCCTAAATGCAGCCCTTCATGAGGGGAACAAAGAGATTCAGGTTCATTAAAATTCCTGAAAAGATCTTAAATCCAGAGAGGATCACTGAAAAGAAAGAAACAGTGGGACAAAAGTTCATGCAAAACACGGGAGAGAAAATCAGGAGGAGACGGAGAGAAAAGTACAGAAACAGAGTGTTTCAGAAAACGAGCCAACACATGAGACGCCGCATGTTGGAAAGAGCATGAAGATCTTCTGGGGAATCATAACTCCAGTGAGAATCACACGCAGCAGATTCCTGTGGATGGACTCACACTGACGCAGGACCACCAGCTTCCTGCAAAGCATCATGGGTAATCTGTGTCCAAGTGTGTGCACGTGAAGCACATCAACAAAAACAGTTTTTCCTCCAAAGATGAACCAGCAGCAGACGAGTAACAATCAACCAACTCCGTCTGATAATCTTTAAAAAATAAATGTTTTGATCCAGTTTTTACCGCCTGTTGTAGATTTGCTGCTGTCTTTGGGATCAATGTTCTGTTGCACGATTGAACATTTGCCAAACTTTAACTCATGGCCTCATATTTGACTCTGGAATATTTTGTTATACAGGGGAGCTCACGGTCGACTCGGTGACCGCCCAAATCATCATCCCCCATCACTGCAGTGATTTTCTCAGAAATGTGTAGCTGTGCATTCAAATCTCCACTTTAGTCTTTTAGTTTGAGTAGATGTAACTTTGCATGCCATGCCGCCGTGTTCTTATTAGAGAGAAGAGGCTTTCTCTTCCAAACATTACTCTACCCGTTTGGTGTTTTTCTAATTGTACTGTCATGAATTTTAACCTTTAACATGCTAACTGAGACCTGTAGAGTCTGAGGTGGAGCTCTTGGAGTTTCTGCAGTTTCTCTGAGGGCTGAGGCTTCACCCACTAGTTATTTTCACAGTATTCGCTCACTCCAGGATTCACTAGCTTAGCTTAGCTTAGCTCGTAGCTGACTTGCTAGCAGCATGGCTTCTTCACCTCTCCCTCCTGCACTTTCCTGCTTTGTGAGTGAGATGTTTGGTTTCCTTTAGTAGTAACGATAAGTGTAATAACTGTAGCCTGTTTGCAGCTTTGGAGGCCACGATCACTGAAAAGGAGACCCGGCTTTGTCTTGAAAAACCCGTCGCTAGCCAGGCCCAGTTGCGGCAGATGACCGCCCCTTTTCTGAGCCTGGTTCTGCTGGAGCAGGGGTAGGGAACGTTAGTCCTCGAGAGCAGGTGTCCTGCAGATTTTAGATCTCACCCTGGGTCACCACACCTAAATCAAATGATTAGTTCATTACCAGGCCTCTGGAGAACTTCATACATGTTGAGGAGCTAATTTAGCATTTGAATCAGCTGTGATGGATCAAGGACACATCTAAAACCTACAGGACACTGGCACTCGAGGCCTGGAGTTCCCTGCACGATCTGATATCGTCGTGTTGGTGTTGTTCCCAGATCATCATACTAAATGTTGTTCCAGGATCAACATTGCAAGTGACCAATCAGAATGTTGTGACGTCATACTTTTGCGACTTCGGGAAAAACCGCCGTAAAACAAAAAACTGTACTTAAGCTGCGAGAAACCGCCTCTGTCCGACGATCAACGGACCCTGATCCTAACCCTAACCGTAACCCTTTAATAAACGGTAAGCAGAACTGATATTGTCCTTGCAACATTGGAATTTCATAAATGCACGAATGGCTTGGCACGCAAAAGAATAACGTCACAACAATGTGATTGGTCGCTTGCAATGTTGAACCTGGAACAACATTTTCATGATGATCTGGGAACAACACCAACCCGACGATATCAGATCATCCGAGTTCCCTACCCCTGTGCTGGAGGTTTCTTCCTGTTAAATGGAAGTTTTTTCTTCCCACTGTCGCCAAAGCGCTTACTCGTAGGCGGTCATATGTTTATTAGGGTTTTCTTTGCATCATTGTAGGGTCTTTACCTTACATCATAAAGCACCTTGAGGCAACTGTTGGCGCTACATAAATAAAACTGAACCTTCTGTCAGTAGGGTCTGATTGTGGGGGGACTTGGGTGGGGTGTCCACTCCTGAGAACACTGTGGTGTTGTGTTTACACAGCTGAATGCTTTTATAGAGGTCCTCAAACGTGCTGATGATCAGTTATTCAGGTGCATTTTATTAGTAGCACCTGGCTGCTATTTACCCTCTAATGGAAGCAGGATGTGCTTAGTTTTTCACCTGACTGCATAGAGTCATGTGACAATGTTCTTCTTCACATTACTGCAACACGTTATCTGTAATTTTAAGAACGCAACAAGCTGATGCTGCTCAGCTCTGTGGTGTCCGTTCATTGGACTTCTATTTTGTTTCAAACTTGTTTTATTTGCTTCGTCTACATTTGACAAATTACACATTATGGAGTTAGCTGATCCTTTACATTTTAACTCCAGCACCTGTTGGGGGTCAAAGGTCAACTTCTTTAAGGATTTTACAGGATTAAAGCTGATGAGCTGTTACTCAGTATCAGCTGTGGATCAAGAGAAAGGTCTCAGTGTCTGATGGATTCTCACAGATATTTATGACCCCTAGCTTCTATTTCAGGGATGAATATGTTAGCTTATGCGTTTAATTTGTTGTTAATATCAGTAAATGTTTATTTAGTTTGCACACATGCACCCTGCGGCATCACGACTCACTTTTATCGCCTCCTCCTGTCAGGATGAATCGAATGGAGCGGTCTTTCTTCTTCTTGTCCTCCGGGTTTGGAGGGAGGGGCTTGGAGCCATGGTTGAGGGGGACGGGGTCCTTGTTGCAGGAGCCAATCATGGTGCTGGTGTTCCTCATGGGCGGAGCTGGGGGCTTGTCCTCGACCTCCCCATTATCAGACATCTTCAGATAGGCTGCAGCCGACCGTTCCTGTGCACCAGAGAGGCCAAAGTCAGAAACACAAACTCTTCTTACAGACGGACTTGTTTTAAATCTGTCAGCTCTTCATTACTGATCTGACACAAACAAAAACAATATCAGCTGCTTACTAATTATGCTGTTTATTTTCTGTCAAAAGGCCCATAACAACATCTCATATCACTGCATCTCCCGTCTCTACAGCTCAGCGCACGTGGTCGCGTTTCCCAGTAAATTGAAACTCTTTACAAGACGTTTTGTGGTTTCTCATAAAGAGAAAACAAAGAACCACGAACACTGAGATTAAATGTTTCCACCACATTGTTAGCTTCATCAGCTTTAAGCATAGCAGATCATTGATCATAAAAAACAACAAAAATGGGTGAAAAATCAGTACGAATAAAAAAAGAAAACTTTAGGTCTATTTGCTCACTGAGCGAGGTTGGTCGGAAGATGACTAAAACATCACGTGTGCTGACTCAGACTTAAATGCAGTCTTGGTAAAAAGATAACACACACACACACTCGCACGTACACACACACACACACACACTCGCACGTACACACACATTTCATTCTGTACGTACAACCTGGAGGAGGCGCCCACACAGCTGAGCGGAGAAGACGGACATTTTAATGACAAGTTTTACCACAACGCCCTCATACAAAAATACACAAAATCACACGCACAGACTACAACACAACCTGCTCGGCTAAATGCTCCACTGGGCACAGGAACCCACGAGGCCAGTCTATTTAGGTCAGAAAAACTCAGAATGAACCACGATTCATACTATAAATAGAAATAACCCACAGTAACAAGAACAAACAAACTGCTGTGTGTCTGTATCTCCCTCAGTTTTGGTGTAGCTAAGGTGAAATCAAAGCTTGTTTAAAAGGCTGTTTCAGTAGTTTAGCAGCACTGCCACAAACACAGAGAGAAAATTGAATGTTTCAAATCTGTAAATCTTTTCTTCTCCCCCTTTGTACAGTTTCTTCGGGCAATCGATCCCAGGTGTGGATTATCACAGCCACAGCGAGAGGAAGCAGTCTCAGTCCAACTCAAACAAACTCTCCAGCGGTTTGTTTCTGGTGGGAAATTGATCCGACCCTAATCTCACCCGGTGCTGCAGGTTTGGGTGCAGCAGCTTCTCTGACCAGATGCTGCACTTTAAACACTACTTCCCTGATATTCGTGCAGACGGTAGATTTTTTACTGACATGTATAGTTTTCCTTTAAATTCACTAATACATGCGCTGCTGCATGCGCTGCTGCATGCGCTGCTGCATGCGCTGCTGCAGCGACAGATCCTCGTATCAAACAGGGACAGGAAATACCTGTTTTGTTTTACAGTGGGTCCACTGTAGGAGCCATTTCGTGTTGTTAGCTTATGTGTACCACTAGGGGTCACTTTTTGTGTTTTTAATGGTGCAGCATTAAAGGTAGACGGACGTAATTAGCGTGAGGTGTTGTTGGTCAGAAAGAGCAAACGGTTTGTGATTTATGTTAATGATGTTGGATACTAAGAGAACTGTTGAACAACAAATGCAACCGATGGAAAGCAATAAAGGTTTAAACAGACACGATAAGCACAGCTGGAGTTATTGGACTATGTCTCATTCATAACAGCTGCACCGCGACACCCCACTTCAAGGCTTATCCTCTACTGAGAATGAACAAAACTTTATATTTTATGATTACAGACAATCCAGGTGAGGAGCTACTGGAACTTTTCCTGCAGTTCCTGTAGTTTCACTGGTCAAACCCATGTAAGTTCAGTGTGACATCCCTGCTCTAAACACTCCGGTTCAGGCAGTTTTTTTCTACTCTTGGCTCTTCATGACATCAGAGAGACTATATAGCTTTCATATGTGTCAACTCGGCACCCAACTTAAGCCCCGCCCAACTCCTGTTGAAATCTTTTTATGAGGGACAGCCATTGGAAGAATGTTGACTTAAAGGGGGAGGGGTTAAAACACGGTGTCTCAGACAGGGTTTTATAAGACAAGTCGTTTTTAGCAACTTTTTAAAGGTTTGGAAATAAGTTTAAATTGTTGTCCCTGCTTTCAACCAGGCTTCCTGTGCACAGGACACCAAATCTTGTAAAGCACCTCATCACAGTATCTCACAGGACAAAACCTGCAGTTCCTCTAAAGTCCACTGGAGGCTCACTCCAAATGTGAGTCAATTCCCACGTCTTCCAGGTCTTGATGCATTGTCAATCATCCAGGTAAGTAAATCTCCAAAAGTTGATTCTGAAGCCCACCGAAGGGCTGGTTCCAGTGTTAAAATGTCCAAATTTACAACAACCCACCACAAAAACATGGTACAAGTTCATTTAATTTGCTTTATGTCTCCTAGCATTTTTTAACACATACAACTTCTAATGTATTTAATTAAGCGACTGCAAAATTTTAGTTTCAGGCTCTCAAAGTAAAAAGAGGTGGGTCACAATTTAAAGCCAAAATCTCACTTTCGCTCAAAATTATTTTCTCTATAACCAACTTTAATATCATGGGATACATCATAGTTTCAACATGAAAGCACAGATTCATAGAAACAAGCTTTGGTACTCTGGATGTTTGATCTGTTTTCTGATCATTCACTGAAGAAAAGTTAAACTTTAGAAAACTAAACATGAAAGGTCTCCATCTTAGCAACATTTCGATACCAGACTTATATTTGCTGTGTGACAGCACAGAGGCTATGGCCTCTTTCACATGAACTCTGTGGACCTAATCAAACTAATCTGATAATATTATGAGCGTTATATAAGATATTATACAGCTGTGTAGGCATCATCGAGGCTGCAATAAACTGTTATTCACGCGTGAGAAGAGGGCTGAGCGAAAGTGTTGAACAGCACAAAGCAAAAGACCAAAAAACAATCAATGAAAACACTCGGTGTTATCAGAATGACACTAATGAAGCAAATCACCTCAAAATGAATTTTTGTCACAGCCCACTGCTCAGGTTTTACTCACAAAAGAAAACATACGAACAGTTACGACAATAAAAACTCCCACTGAGTTTTAATCGCCTGCTGCTCTGGGAGCGACACCGCAGCATGCACATAAATCATTTTTACATTTTTTCCATCAAAGAGTAAATCTGACTGTTTTCTAAAGATTACATCAACAACTAAAAGGTTCAGATTTACAAGGTCAAGTTATATTTCATAGTTATCAGAGGACAGATGGGCCTTTTTTATAAGCCATTCACAAAAATAAGACTTTGAATACAATAACAACAGAGAGAATCATCTCTCTGTTGTTATTGTATTCAAAGTCTTATTTTTGTGACTTTGAATACACAAAAATTCAAAGTCACAATAGATGGTTTGTGCTTCATGAAGGACAAACCATCAGTTTTAGGATTTAAACATGAAAGTTTTCAATGATTTCAAGACTCAACCTTCATCAGAAGGTTGAGTCTTGAGCAGTTCTTACCTTAGCAGAGGCATGCAGACATGTTTACAGCATAGAGGTGATCCACAAACAAACAAACAAACAAAGAGAAAACCTTTCTGCTCGAAGAGAAACTGTTGGATCGACTGAGGGTTAAAGTCTAGCAGAGACTGAGAGGCTCTGTGAGCCTTTTGACCAATCCTGCCTCCTATAGACGGTGATGTCATTGTGTGATGTCACAAGGTGAGTCACATGAGGAAGTGGGACATACAGTAAACACACACACTAACACAGATACTCACACACATGTTTTAGAAAGGCAACAGGAAAACTTCAAACACACAACTCTTTATTGTGTCTGCTGGGCGAGAACACACACAGGCATTATCCCACACAAACACAAGAGTGTGTGTATGTTTACAGCCGCCACACACACAAACAATTGCCGTGTGTGTGTGGTGATGTCTTTGTTGTTGGTCTTTCTGTAAAACACAAACCCAGACACACGAGCAGACGTCTCATATTTCGGACTGTGCTGTCAGTTTCAGCACAGACCTGTTACCAAACAAAGCCACACACTGTCTGCTGCAGGGCACACACACACACACACACACACACACACACACACACGCACACACGCACACACACACACACACTAATTGATCTTCTAAAAATAAGCACAGGATGAGTGAGCAAGGTTTCAGAGGGTTTTCCAGACTCCAACTTTTCCCTGCGGGACAAAAACTCAGTTTAATGTCGAGTCTTCCCAGCGAGGTGACACACCAAAGCCCCCAAACTACAGACAAATCTGGATTTGCCCAGTTGTGATCACTCTCACCAGGAGAGGATCTTTGAAGAACAGGAAATCCTGACGTCTTATTCTGAAACAGGTGGTTGAAGCCTCCCAGGTCAGAACAGCTGGGCGGGGGTGACGGCTGCTTTCTGGGTCGAGGTGACGGAGGATTGGAGGGACTAGTTGACTTTTCTGCAGCATGTGGTTCTGTGACAGAGACCATTTCTGTCCCAGCATTTTTTAACACAACTAAACTGCAAAAAGTACGCACTCATCTCCGAGCTCGTTCACTCTAACTCTGTTTCCAGAGCTCAGTGAAGCAGATCAGCGACGTGATTATCAACTGGATGAGTCAACCCAGAGTTTATTACAGGAAAGACGCAGTTTAATCCTGGATCTCTGCGTGGAGAACAAGTGTAAGTTAGATGAACTAACTCCATCTTTCTTATTATATCTTAAAAAAAAATCTAAAAACAAGACTTTCAAAACAGAAATAAAATGAGTATCGACAAAATCAAACACACAGCATTTGTTTACTCTGAGGGGAGGGGCTGCACACACAACCACACCCGTGTCTGAGTGATAAGAAAATATCACTGTCAGACAACTTTTATGATATCAAGAATCACAACACACACACACACACTCACTCAGAGGATGATTACAGCTTGTGTCTGTTCTGTGAATCACAAACTGTCTGAGCTGTCATGTCCGACACATTGATTTCTCCAGCTGACGACTTCCTCGCTCTCTTATCTGTCTTCTCAGTGAAAACATTTCCTTTTCCTCTTCGTCACGCTGCTTGTTACCG